TTACTTGTTACATCAATTTTTAGACACTTTTTTTCCTGTTCAGTTTAGGCTAATAAATGTTGGTGGATAAGATTAAAACATACAGAGATTTACTTGCAGAGTGAAATTTTAAATAAAAAAAAGCATTGCAAAGTTTTTCCCTAGTAACACGTTTAAACCCGTGTGATCATAAATACAGACGATGTCAGGAACAGCAACAATGCCCGACAGCCAATAATAACTCTTTTTACTCATGACTGCCTATTTTGCACAAATCACATTATGCCATTTCCTCTAAATTGGAAGTGTTACCACTTAATCCCTGTCTAATGGTTATATCCTTTATTAGCGGAATAAACTTCCCCAGTTCCGACTGGACCATACTACAAACTTGTATTTTTACTAGATATTTCACTGGAATTATTCCTGGGGAACCTTGGCATCCAGAGACCTCTTGCCAAGGTCTGCTATTCTTTTACATGGTTTCAACTCCATGGTTTTAAAACTTTGGGATTGTTTCCCCTCTTAAGTTTGTACAGGCATGCCTACACTAGTTAGTTCAGGTCACAAGGGTACTTTAATGATCATCCTCCCTAACAGTGCTTTTGTTTACATCGCAAAGTAGGCTGGGAGTACACAAACTGAATTCTTTTTGTATGAAACTACACTGGAAAGCTCAGAGTGCACCCAACATGCTCCAACAACTAAGAGGCACTCAGTCTGGAGGGTCAGAAAGGAGCCAGGCTGAAGGAGACTCACACACAGACTGGGGACATCAGGTCCTCAGCACCAACTATCTTGCTCTACAAAAGCAGTTTCGTGGGGCTGCTCTCCTTACTAGGGAGCCTGTATTGCCAAGCATCCACTTCAATCATTTATCATGGTTACTTCATTGAGCCTCAAGAGGCTTGGGTTTCTTTAATCATTAGCATTAGCATCACTCTTCTTCAGCCCAAACAAACTTCTTCCACACACCCCAATTTCCTTGATTTCTTACATCCTTTCCTTACTGTCTTTTCTTCTCTTTACTGAGAACTGTTAGGCAACTCTTCAACGAACTAAATTTGGTCCAATAACTATCTTGCTAGGCCTACAATCTACCTACTGATCTCCAAAGACAAAGTTGTTTTTAAAAAGACTGCCTAACATGAAGTTTCTAAATTTACACTTCTTTTACTAAACAAGTTAACCTGATCTTCAAAGGTGCCCCCTGAATCACAGAGAAATTACTTACACTCCCTTGTGAGTTGGTACCCGAGTAATATGATTGCAATACAATTAAGTTCATCTTCTGATAAAGAGTTTGTAAAACATAAGATCATTTAATGGTAGACAAGAGACATTAACAGCCTAGCTTTCATTTTAAGGATTATTTGAAAAAGGGTAGTGGGAGTGGGTTTCATGCTATCATTAGAAAAGGGGAATAAGTAAACATGGCAGATTCGCATGGTGAGATCCTGACATCCACTGAAAGAGAACAGTATGTTATCACATATGCACTGTACTTCTGAGAACAAGTACTTCATATGGCCAGATACATTCAGCCAATTAAGTAGCAATCCAACTGACTGAACACTGGTAAATTAATTCTAAAGTGCTGGTTCACACCAACACAGATGCTTTCATGATGTAACTTACTGTGACAGGAGCTACAGAGCCTCAGAACTAAAGTATGGTTACAGAATATTACTAAAAACACTTGGCATTTGTTATAAGGCAGCATTATAAGTCCTGAATTCTGATTAGCTATCACACATAATATTACTTTTGCATAGTAACAGTGCATTTTACAATTTAAGCAGTCAAGTATGGGCTGTGCAATAATAATAAAAAAAGATCAGGGCATATCAAGTTAACCTTTCAAAGCAAACTTTCCTGACCTTTCTGAAAGAGAAGAGTTTATGCCTTTTCTCAGTAGTCCCCTTTTTTGCTTTATTATTCCAGTCTTCTGTGACCTTCTCTCATTAGCTATTTTGTTTCTCCAAAAAAAAAAAAAAACCAAAACCCAACAGGGAAGGGAGCTGCAAAGTTTCACTAGCAAAGTACTCAGCAAAAGTTAAAAGGAGCAGACCAGAAAGTTTAGGAGCAAGATTTGTAAGGATTTCTGTGAAACAGAAATAAGGCAGGCCGGAAAGAATTAAAGAAACAGATGACAAAAATTAATTGTAAGGAGAGTGATTTCCCAAACAAGTAAAACTTAAAAAAAACCCAAATAGAACTTTTAAGATTAAACTGTATTTCTTGGCATAAGAAATGTTTGCTTTTAAGGACAAGTATTTTGAATCAATGTTAGTTTTATTTCTTATTACTCACAAAATGTTATTTCCTAGTTTGAGCTTCTAAGAGATAAGCTGCTTTCTGAGACAGAGGGTTGCACAGCTGTTTTAAGGCAGCACTGAAATGCAACATTACCATTCCACATATTACCACATCAGAATGCCTTCCTGTAGACAACTAAGCAGCACAGCTGAGCTGTTACGTCTAGCCTTTCACAGCAGCTTATCTTTCTTATTAGTAAATAAAAAACCCCAAGCGTATTATAGAGGGCTGAGATTAAAAGAAGGATCCATTACATTTTCATCCTAACACTTAGAGCTGTACTTGCTTAACAGAAAATTGCCCAGGAGTCTTCAGGCCACGTAGACTCTCAGCATACCTGCAAGTAGCTACAGGTTAAACACATGAAGTTCCCATGGACTCATGTCCTGAGTACCAGAGAGGCAAGGCTAGAAAGAATTAGGATTCACACATTTACCTGATGGCCCCACTTGGTAAAGAAGAGATGTAGAAGGCAACACTTTGTATGTGAGAATGACTGCCTCATGTTTCAGCTGAAAATGCTATACTCTTAAGCATTACCAAGCACATTTTAAGGAAATTCAAAAATACGTAGGAGGGCAGTGTGCTTAGTTAGTGCACAGAAGCAACAGCACATAACATTGTGTGGTGTGTAAAGACCACACTCTCTCTTTTTCAGTCACTCTATTGCCTTTCAAGTTCCCACTTAATGCATACACCTATAGTAACATGGCGGAAAAAAAAAGGGAATATTCTGCAAGTCTCATTTACACCTCCAAAGGAACTCGTCTGCTTTGTTCTTAAGGCGCAATGAACTCGTACATGCAAACCGTCTTGGAGCATCCAGGTAGAACTCATTACTTCAATTATTTTAACATCCTAAACGTAATGGCAGAACAGCATTGAAGACTGCCAGCCACTGGGCCCTCAGAAAACAACTACAAAGAAGCTTTTTTGCACAGATGCATGAGGCTTTTGTGCAAAATATAATCCTTGTACCAAATTCAAAGTTATTAGACCAGCTCAAGGCTGTAGCAACTGTGTATGTTTGTGATCTATGCCTGTACACCACAGGGGGGAGGAGAAGCGAACATGCAGGCATCCCCCCGGTAGTTTTATGTTCACAGAACAATCACAAACGTTCTAGAAGCGAGAGACAAGTAATGGCTGAAGCGGTAAGGGGTGGGTGGGGGGGACACACACACAGATCAAGTGTTTCTTCTAACAGGACTGTCCGCATTCCCGCTCCTTCCAACAGGTCTCCATCCAGCCCAGTGTCCTGGTAGGAGAGGGAAAGAAAGAGCTGCTGAAGAAAAAAACAAAACAAAAAAAACCAAGAAGGGGAACAATAATCGACATAAATAACTAACTGCTGTTTTCAAAAAGGTCTTATTAACCACATCAGAAAGCAAAAAGTAAAAGACAACAAGATACTTTCCTCAGATTTGTGGGTGGAAGAACAAAGTAGAAGGTTCAAACAGCTTCCCATGATAGTAAAGGCAATCCATAAGATAAACATAGTACTTTGTGTAGTCCAACATAAACAAACAAAAATAATCAGAAAGCCATCAAGGTCCAGATTATTCAAGAAAGTCAGAAATGCAGATACATTTTCTGTAAGAACTTAAATTTTCTGTTAGAAAAAAAATTAATGCCAACTTAAAATTAAATGTTTCATTTAAATAAGCCATATAAGTGAACCAAAGTAATTACAAAATACTTATATACTCAGCAAAAGATGTTTCCAACAAGTATTATTTTTTTACCGTATTATCCAATGCAAAGTAAACCTGAAAATTATCTGCTCCACAATTCAGAGTTAGAAAGACATCTCTGAATTATATATTTTTCCTCCTTTGTATTTGATTTTGTATAGATATTTAGATTCAGAATTGACAGACGGCCAAAAGTGTCACAGAAAGAGACATGAAAGAAATACTTCCACGACAAACTGAACTGTCAGAATTATGGCATCCTGTAAGAAAGATTTTTTTACAGCAAGACTTAGTTCCCTCTAGCAAAGCAGGGGAGTTAAAATTAACCGTTTAATAGTAACTGAAAGTACATGAAACTGTTACACCATTTCAGGCAGGTCCCTTTGCTCCAAATATTCCTCTATTAAGTGAGCCCTTGAAGGCATGCTTACAGAACATTTGTGCGTTTTATATGTTAATAAGGGGGGGGAAGCTTTTGCAAGACCTACATATTACATCTCCCACAAGAGCCAGCTACCCACTCAGTCAAATACAGTCTTCAGCATCCCCAGTGCCAGTCTGCTTGTTTCTTGGACAAGGGAGAAGGGATTAAAGGGGAAGAGGTGGCATGACAAAAATAAAGTTATTAGCATTGGCTTAATTTTTTACTTATGGTACATCTTTGAAGTCAGAAAGTTTATTAAAAATTATTCTTGAAAGTAAAACTGTTTTTATACACAACAGAAGTATAAGACACATTTCATATTAATGATCTAGTAAACTAGTGAACTGTCCCTTAACTGTGTTTCCAAAATATAACTTTCAACCATATGCTCCGTAAATATCTGGAAGAGCAGTCTAGTTTTAGAAAGTGTAACAAACACATGCAATTAAAAAAAGCTTGGCAAAAGAAATACCATTTTATTACAGTATACAGTGCTATTTCCATTTTAAAATGGACAAATGCCAAATGAAACTAACAGAAAACCAAAAATCTCTAAAGATGTAAAGACCATCAATGAACATATTTAAGTTAAAAAACCAAACTATGGCATGTTGTGTATTTGAAGTTTTATTGATGGGAATGCAAATATAACCATGGCATATCACAAAAACAATTCATAACATTTCATTAAAAACAGTTCCTTGAAAACATCTGCAATCATCTATAACAAATACACTGAATATTTGAATCCTTTTCAAAATCAAAATATTCCTCTAGAAGCCTATTGTATATGGTTACTAAAAACCCAACATCAAACTTTACAATAAAAAAAATTGCAGAAATACCTAAAAATGGGCACCTAAAATCAGTAGGTATCTCATGCAGCTGTATTTCAGGAAGTGCGGATTATTCTTTCTCAAGAAAATAAATATTCCCATTTGGTCAAAAGGTGTCCCCCCAAAAAACAGAGGGGCATTTCCTGATGGCTAATTATCACCTAGAACTCAAATGAATGCAGATGTTTATTGTTAACATAAATCTTTTTTTAAAATATGCTCTTCAGTCACAAGATTTGATTTAATTCATCAATGTGCATACCTGAGGTGCTATGTTGCCTACATTCAGTTTTCCTGGAAGAGTTACTAAAAGGAAACAAGTCAACACAGTATATTTTAGCTGAACTGTTCATTTTCTTTAAATCATTCTTCCTTTCCAAGGAACTTGTACACCTACTGACAGTTTGTAAAAGAATGCCATACATCTTTTATTTCTCTCTCATGTCTTCATTGCTTGGATCTGATCTGTTAATAAAAAGAAACAGCTAGTCTTAACACCAGATGAATTCTTGCTGTATTTTGCTTGTTGAAAACATAACCCAGTATTGTCCAGGTTACAGAACTACACTGATAGATATTTTGGTGCAGTTACAAGACTGGGGGACAATGCGGTTAGAGTTGTTTTCAACTTGCTCTCTCATCCACTTCTGAAATTCCTCCACAGCCAAGTTGTTTCTCCCAAACGTTGCTAACTAAACAGGAAGACTCTGCCACACAATTCAATTTTTATCTTTTTTGGGCTTATAAGGTAACTTTAGTGTGAATAAGTCCTGGAGGCTTACTTTATGAAGTACATATTTCAATTTGTTGTACACATTTCAGCTTCCACATAACTGAACATGAACTAACTCCACAACAGCAAAGGATTTAACGTTTGCTTTTGAGTAACTCACATGAAAACTTCTTTGCTCTCAGTAACCACACTTCTCCATACTGCTGCCTGATTGCCACCTCTCAATTCACTTCAAACATTTCCTTAGTTAGCATAAATGTACTGCATCCCCATTACAAAATGTGGAAATCAGCACAATTACTCCCACTAATAGGGAACATGAGCTGGGCTTAGACTGCTGTGAGTTAGGTTAGTTTTACCCTACTGATGATGTGGTGTTGCAATAGTAACCCCATTACAAAATACAGAAATATGCAAACTCAGCCTTCACCAGGGAAAAAAAGGCAAAACCTTCTTCCTCTGCTGCCCCAAATCTGTGAACTACCTGTAATGGGTCTGCAAAAGGTAACTAAGGAAAGCATGGCTGTTGACAAGCAGAACGGTGCATTCATTAACCAGGTGTCATTTCCTCCACTGAATTTTATGGCATCCACAGGCTGTGGTTTAGGGACCACTATAACTTAAGAGTTGTTCCAAATATTTCCATCTAGTGCTCTAGGAATGAAGAGGAGAATCGTAGCAAAAATTTGTTCTTGAAATATCCAAGTCCTCATCCATTAAAAGTATAACTGCCAAACTGCACATGCTTAGGCAACAGTACAGTTTAAACCCAACCCCTCTTAAGCTTTTGGGGACACTGAGCCAGGGAGTTAACGGAAATTTTTAGATAAAGCCCATCCATGAAGAATTTCAACTCAGAAGATTAAGAAGTTTAACAATCCATGAGAAGTGAATTGCTATGAAGAGCTATGTAGGTGAGTGACAGCAGAAGCACCTGCTTACTGTGCTTAACAGTCTACATATACAACTTAAATATTTTGTCAGAAAATATTTAGGCAAGCATTTGAGATCCTTTTAAGTAGCTTGAAGCTACGTACAAAACCATCAACTCAAATTTGGATTGAAACTTAGAAGGTTCCTCAAAGATAAGCAGAGACCCTGAAAATCACAGGAGAATATTACAAAATCAGAACTATGCCTGAAATTAGGAAAAAGTACGTGATTTGGAATCTGCCTCTATGATAATAGGATACAGCAGTGAAGGAAACTCAGTAGTAAGATGCTGGTTCCCCACCACAGAACTCTTTTAGATGGTGGAGGATGCATCACTGTTCTTCTGTAGGGCAGTAAATCTTTTTGTAAAGACTATTTTTGGCTAGTATCCCTTCCTCTGAAAACATGACCAAATGTTTTTGTATTCTGCTGTAACACGGTAAAATAAACCATCTCTTTCTAATTAGCAGTAAGGATTCTAAGTAGAAAGGACAGTATTGTATCCATAGATAAATGGAGATACGTTAAATCAGGGACAATGTTGGATATTATTTAGCTGCATTTTGAAGGAAATGAGCCTAGTGGCTGTGGCTCTGGAGCATCGCTGACATCTAGCGGCTGCCAGAGCCCAGAACACGCCAGTACAGAGAAACCGTCTTGCAGATTCAGATTATACTACGCTACCTAATACACTCACAATGTAAGCAACGTAAATTAGGGCGCTAAAATTAGAATGAGTCTACCAAAATAATACCACAATTCACTATTCTATACATTTAGCAGTACACGGGAGGACAAAAGAGACCAGATCCTTACCAACATACGACAGAAGGATATACAGCATCCATACCAAGTTTGTAATTAAAAACGTGTACGTGATGTATCATCTAAGCTGGATCTGATATTTTCTATGTATTTATGCTATGATCGTTATAACGTAAGTTGTTCTTATTTTGGCTCTAGATTAAAGAACTGAGGTTGAATAATCAAAACTAGTGTATTTGTCTGTGTACTTTGCTTATTTTTCTAGCCTGCTTATTCACCATTTCCTGATACATAACATTAAGTTATGTAAAAGTGGGACAGGACAGTAAGAATAAGTTAAAGAACAAACTGAAATACCACAATAATAAATTGAAGTGCAGGAGCTGGTATTATTGTTTACAAGAAAGCGTTACACTGTTTGCAAGAGTATGCATTAATATTTCATAGTACACACTTTTGTCAGAGAAACTGACACAATATTTTGTGTACATTAAGGAGGAAAATGAAAGGCAAATATGAGATAGAGCATCAGTACTCACTGTGTAATTTGATCTGACAGCAGAAGCGGACAGAAAGAAAACAAAGGAAATAATAAAGAAAACACCTTACAAAATGAAAAAGTTTAACAGGATGAAAATAGAGCAAGAGAATTACATATGATATACCTTGGAGCCAATCCACACCTTCTTGTAATCCTTCTCCTTTAAGAGCATCACTGGCACTGAAAGAAACAAGTCAAATTATGAAAACATTGTAAAAATACCAGTTTTAGTGGAGTCATCACTATACTTGTAATTTACAGAATTGCAAAGTAGCATCAAGTACAGTTTACTTCAGTTTTCTTCACATGGAGAAGGCTGCTTCTCAAATGATATATTCTAGAGTACCTTCCCAATATGGAAATACCATTTCAAGATGTGATCTGTTTTAATTCCAGTTTCAAGGCAGAGGAATCGTTCCTAGAACATAAGGGGTTCTGGAAAAGCTCCCACACAAGGCAGCCACATTTTTATGCGACACCTCCACTTAAATAAATCCCTCCTCAGACTGTGCTATAGAAGATATTTACTACCTACAAGAACAGTGATGAATCCTAGAATCATTTAGGTTGGAAAAGACCTTTAAGATCGAGTCCAACCGTTGTCCCATGCAGTTCCTATACACAACGAGAATGCTGGAGTACTGGAGGAAGAAAGTATAGTGCGTATACACTTCATTGTAACAGCAACCCTAGGAGTGTCTGTTAATATATATTAAGCTACACTGAGAACAGTGTGAATCTACCTTTTGAATCACAGGGGTATAACTGTTTAAAGGTCCCTCATTCTTCAGCTTATAAAAACCAGCACAGCAGTGAATCTGGACTGTGAACAGTGTGTCTACCTTTTGAATCACAGGGGTATAACTGTTTAAAGGTCCCTCATTCTTCAGCTTATAAAAACCAGCACAGCAGTGAATCTGGACTGTTACTGTGGTTAGCTATGAAGTTACCTTCCAAGACCTTGGGAATTAATCAGCGTCATTTTGGAGACAAAAGCAGTGACCCCAAAACAACGCCCAGGTAATCAAGTTTAATCTTAAAGGGCCTAAAATGAAAATTGTAGTTTTCAGCAGCATTTAGCTGCTAATTTCACTTTTATTTATAGTATCCGAGGACTTTAGTAAGACAAAAATCTAACTTCTATAAAACACTTTTGATAAAAAGAGAGGTTTTTTTCCTTGTGAACACTGGCACAAAATCCTTCTATTTATATGAAAGCTCACATCCTTCAGAAAGAAAAGACACTAGCTCCTACAACTAAAAATCCCCTCAAACATTACACGTACAAAAAGTACGGTGACCCTCTGAATTCACATGAGAACAGTTTACTAAATGGCCTTTCAACAGTAGTTTACTAAAGCATCTGCAGAGTGGAAAAAAACAACTCTAAAGGTTTTATTGCTGATATTCTGAAACCTGCAAGACAAACTAGCAGCAGCACTCTGATAACAATTCTACTCAATTTCCCAGCAAAAAAATAATAGCAGCTATTCTTCTGATAAGAACACTGCTTTCTGATTTCACTAGAAGTCCTCCATTTCATTATTTGGGTAACAGTTCTATTGTGAAAATTTTCAAGATACAGTCTACGTGAATGCATTGTGTGTTTAAAACAAGTTTCATAGCAAGTATTGTAATATCACTGCTGTTTCCACATGTGGCAGCACAGCATTTTATCTGGTTGATTTAATTTAATGTCATACAATACTGAGTGGCATGACAGAGCTAAAATGTGAATGTACAAAGTAATACCAATAAGAGGGCAGAAAAAGGGAAATTTACCAGATATGCCAGGGCTTGTCTTTGATGTTTTCTAATGATAGTAACTGAGATACTTTCACAGATGATATCGCATCCCTGAGGTCCATCTTGTTTGCAAAAAAGAGAATAGGCAGTCGACGGTGCTTAATATCTAGGCATGAGCAGAAATAGAACTATCATGACATTATGCAACACTTACTAATCTCTACACGTAATAAGCTACAAACAATACAGGAAGATATTTTGCTCACCTGTAACTGCAATTCTCTGAAGGTTGTATCCTACCAAGACGCACACTGTTGGGTCACATGGCCTCCGATGCACGCTTCAAGAATGCTCACAAACTTTCTGGCAGGCTTTGGGATCTTCCACCCCCTCTCCCCCTACCTTATACATACATTTAAAGCTGTAGGTATAAATTGCTGGTGAAGCTGAGGAACAGGAGATCAAACAACTGCCTACAAATACTACACATCTCTGCTTAGTGAGGACTGGATGTGTAAAACGAACAGAAAAATGATTTGTGTTCATTCATAACCTCACAACAATAGTTGCATAAGGGTAGTCTGAATTTAGCATCCTGGAGAGCATCCATGACTTCATAAAATAGGAAAAAAATGCACGTGTGGACATCCCTTATCCTACCTTCACTTGAAGACGACTTCTTTTCCAGAAGCTCTCCTCAGCTAGCAGTGAGAGCTACCGTCCAAACCAAGTACACTGGCAATTTCTGGCATACTTACACATTCAAAAGCATAAGCCTCGCTGATTACCACAAGGCTAGAGAGTCATTAGAAGGAAACTAAGTATACTCTCTTCAACCTGTCAGATGTAAAACTGCCAAAAAATTACCAGCACCAAGACTAACCGTAAGAATTTTTCACATTATTTAAACAAAGGATGAATTACAGGATTAGAAAAAAATCTAGATTTGAGTCTATCAACCAATTCTTGATGGGAAAAGAACTTAACACCCCCCCCCCGATGAAAATTGCTATCCAGGCTCTTTTTCAAATAGTAAAAAGAAAAGGTTATTTCACATAGGAAACAAGCTAAGGATTTATTTAAAAACTTCAAACATAAGCCAGCTGCCCCTGCTGGGGGCAGGGGGGGCAAAAGGAGACAGAAAACCAAAAAACCCAACAAACTGTCAATGCTGAAGTGGTTTGAACCTTCCTAATTATGTTATTTTCAACCCCCCTACTGAACCTTTCCACAAAATCAGTGGAGGTAACGCTATCTACCCATACTCAGAGATCATGAGTGCTGACCAAAACACTGACAATTTTCACAAATATGCACCCTATCTGGAGCTATTTTTTCCTCTGATATCCTCCAACACAAATCAAAGGCCTCAGAACACAAGCATAGAGTATCATTAAATCTCTCTTTTGATTCCATAGTTGAACAGCTTTTGTGTGTCCTGATTGAAACTTCTACATTACTCTATAGTATAATTAAATGAACCCTGGTATCCACAGGTTGCAGGTTATGGATAAATTAAAATCACAGAAATTAGTTGACATCACATATGCAAATAGCCAAGTTAATCAAGGATTTTAATTGCTTTAAAAAAACCACTGAAAAAAGGGGGCACAACCCACCCACATAGACTCATAAATGTACACTTAAAGATGTTTGCTAAATAAAGTGGTGGTCACAGAAATTTACATTATTTCCTACCTTAGGACATTGTTTCCTATTATGCAGTATTTCCCCCCCACACTTTTTACAGTTATTAATGGAAAGCTAACATTTTCTAGTTGCAAGTAGTTAACACATTAAAAAAAAATCCCAGACACCAGATATGTGTGATGTATAATTTTATACAAAGAATTTCAGATTTACAGGAATTTCAGTTTATTTTAGAAGCATGTGCTGGAGGTCAAGTGATCCAAGAGTCAATATCTAAAACAAGTAATCTATAGACTGCCATCTTGCAAAATGCTGAAGAATGAAGTTTGATTAAAAAATTAATATGATGGTGATCATTAAACAAGCCGTTATTTGTAGAGCGCATGGTCCACTTATGTAAATAAAAATAATTTATAGTTCTGATTCACAAAACAGTCCAAGCTAGTACAACTTCTAATCCTGTTAATGCTTCACAGTACACATTCCCTTTCACCTGACAGCCTCAGGCAAAGTCTGGCAAAAAGAGGGGACTGTTTTACTGAAGGATTGCTAAGATTTTCAGAGACAGGAATTGAGTCAAGGTTGTTACCCTGCACCTATTTAGACCTTAAGTAAACATGTAAATTTAAACCACTCCAGGAGATTCACAGAGGCAAAAGCATAGATGGGGAGAAAGGAAGAAAAGCAGAACAGTAATACAAATAAAAATATTGGTATGGTAAAACAGTCATATATTGATTCAGTTAATAGCTACTTTTATCAAACATTACTACTAGAAGAACTTTTTATTCTCTTTGGTTCTCTTAGATGTGACCTATCAAAATCCGAAACGATAAAACAGGAACACTGTTGCTGCATTTGAGCCGAGCTGCTCCAAGGCCAAAATACAAAACTGCCCTTTCCTGGTTCTAGGGAATGTACTAGGTGGCCATAGCCATGGTCTTTCAGAACTAGAAGACACAAACACATCAACAACTGAACAGCGCTGACCTGCTAGATCAGCATTAATAACCTATTAATGCCTAAATGAAAAGCCGCACCTAAGCTTGCATCTCCTCAGTCTTAACATTTTCACTCTTTTGCCTTCTAATAAACCAGTAATTTATTACAGCAGTCTTTACCTTCACCCTTGGTCCTATGTGGTTTCCATTTTAACAACAGAATCGCCTTTTACCACTGTGGTTAATATCTGCTTTGGTACAAAGTTCCTTGGCCTCTATGTAATCCACCTGCAGCCTTTGGTTCACCTCGCCCTCCCCTTTCATTGTTGCAAGACTGTCTTTTCAGTGTCTGCATTTGAAGTGGCCCATACCCTTGAACATGAAATTAAGAGGGCCCAGTCAGCTCACACGTACTCAGCTACAGCATCTTTGTTGATGAACTAATGTATTGTACGCAGTCTTCATGGAAAATAAAATCATAGTAACATAATTGCCCCTATCACATACTGCTTTTCTTGGTTAGAAATGCAAGTCAGCATCTCCTTTCTTACTTTCAGCATGGTAACCCCGTAAGTTAATGCTTAGTAAATAAATAAAAAATTACAGGATTATTTCGCTTTTAGATTTCCTGCATGTAGTTTTATAATCTGGTTAGTCAGAGCAACTACCTAAAGTGCTGAAAGTCAAAACTGCATATTGCTTACAAAAACATTCCAGTAATGTTGGCTATACGGAAGGGCAAAGAAATGAAGAATTGACCAATCTCGGAACTTAACTGAAAAAGTGTAGCCTCATTAAAAAAAAACAGAAACAAACAAACAACCCCCCTAAAACCAACCTCCCGATCATGAATCCTCTCATATCCTCTTCCATCCTATGTATCCTTTTATAGGCAATTGAAACTGACTGGTATAATTATCCCTCCTTATTTCTGGCTAAAGCATAATAATTTAAAAAAAAAAAAAGATAATGAAGATGAAAAAGATCTAATTAGAAGTTACATTAAAGGATTTAGCTGTCTTCATGGAAAAAAATCCAGACAGGGAGATATTTTTTTGTATGTGTTTGTCCTCACATACAGGCTTTCCAGCTTCCAAAGGGTCAAAGTCTATTCTTCCTCAAAACAATGCAACTTTTGATCTGTATTGATTAATAAGAGACCAATCCAACTCAGTATAGCAAACTGAAGTATGATCAGTTTGTAAATGTGAATAGGTATAAAAAAACACCCCCAAACTTATTGAAGACTATTATTGTTCTAGTATTCATGAATGGCTAAAATATTTGCAAAGTACTCAGAATGAAGAATGTGTCAGATAAGGGCTTTTCTTAAGACAACATAACAAATACGGAGACAGAAGGGGAAAAAAAGCCTCCTCACCTGGATGATTCAGAAGGGTGTCAAGTTCCTCTTTGGCCACAACCATTCTTAATTTGTCACTGCTATCAATGACAAAAATAATGGCTTGGCCTTCTCTGCATAACATAAAAAGAGCAAAGAAGCAAATTATAGGTTCTCTTAAACTGTGATTAAGAAAAGGCTTCAGAAGAAACACCAAAAAAAGCAAACAAACCTGATTTTTTCCCTCTAATTTTTGTTGGTTTTATTTACCATTAACATTTGAATCCAGTCTTATTCCTGAAATTCAATCTTTTGGTAACCTGCATAATTTCTTTGAGACATGAGGTTGTTAGATGTATGACTCATACAAGGTTCAGTCTATACAGACCCTTCAGAAAAGCTTGATTTCACTACTGAGGCTGAAAAATAAACTCTGAAAATGTAACCAACTGCTATTCTGACAGTGTGGTCAGACAGACAAAATCTCAAGACAGGTTTTTGTAGAAATTATTTATTTCCTACACTAAACCAAGTTTATTTAGAGAAAGGTCAATTACCTTTTTAGAAAAAACTGTGTCTCCACAGCTGTTTAACAACTAGGCATATGCAGATTAATTTAACTTTTACAAAAGTCTGCATAAACAGGACATTTCTTTTGTTTTGAATAACAGGTAAAAACTTTCAACTATTTCAAATCATTAAGACATTTTGCTGGCAATATGACCACAGTCACAACATATATACAACTATTCAACTCATCATTTCAGGATATTACCGATATTTTATGACTTGATGTTCCATTTATTGAAACATACTTGAAAGCAAAATAAAATCTGACCAATTCAGAAGAACAGTTAAACACCCACAAAAAGTATTTTTAATTTACATTTTAATGTAATATTCACTTCTCCTTCATTTAACATTTCTCTGAGACCATCACGGATACATTCTTCACACCCCAGCAACATCTACCTTCGTACTTTGATAAGAAACAGTCCTAGACCTACTGAAAAACAGAAATAACTTGACCAGCCTAAGATTGTATGAGCAGGTCCATTCTCTTCTGGAGTACAGAAGAACTTTGAGAGCAAATAAAGCTTTTGCACCAGCCTAAGTGTATGAGCAGGTCCATTCTCTTCTGGAGTACAGAAGAACTTTGAGAGCAAATAAAGCTTTTCCAGCTGAAAATGCCTAAGTACTTTTTATGAGCATACTGTACTGTACTCATATTAGCTGAAAATGCCTAAGTACTTTTTATGAGCATACTGTACTTTTCTAGAGGAATCAGAGTCCTAGCATGTATTTACTGCCAGAAGATAGCTTCACAAACAAGTAACAGGGACACAACATGAGTTTACATATATTTAAGACAAGCGTACTTTGAGGACATCCTAGAAGATAGTTTCAAGCCAAATAGAAGAAAAGGGCAAGCTTCAAGTACTTCTGATCAACTACTGTCAAGTAGTTGCTTCGATGATCAGTAGACACTTGATCAGATTTGATTTGATTGCCATTTTGCAATTCTTGCAAAATTAAATCTTGCTTAGCTTTATCAACCAAACAGCACATTATTATTTTTATATTATCCTTAGAAGTTAATCTTAAATATGCGACTACTGCACTGGATCAGGAAAAGAGGTGGATACAAGTGCACATTACATTGTCAGCATTACCTAAGAAACTCCCTTACTGTTAGATGTCCCTTACTGTTGCAGGACAACCAGGGGATTGCAGGACAACCAGGGGATCAGGCCCAGCCAGCATGGGTTCATGAGAGGCAGGTCCTGCTTGACCAACCTGATCTCCTTCTATGACCAGGTGACCCGCCTAGTGGATGAGGGAAAGGCTGTGGATGTGGTCTACCTGGACTTCAGCAAGGCCTTTGACACTGTCTCCCACAGCATTCTCCTAGAGAAGCTGGCAGCTCACGGCTTAGACAGGTGTACTCTGCGCTGGGTCAAAAACTGGCTGGACGGCCGGGCCCAGAGAGTTGTGGTGAATGGAGTTACATCCAGCTGGCGGCCAGTCACGAGCGGTGTTCCCCAGGGCTCAGTACTGGGGCCGGTCTTGTTTAATATCTTTATTGATGATCTGGATGAGGGGATTGAGTGCACCCTCAGTAAGTTTGCAGACGACACCAAGTTGGGCGGGAGTCTTGATCTGCTCGAGGGTAGGAAG